GCCGTCAGGTCTCATCAACATAGAAGGAAGGCTTCTTAGTGTTGAGAAACAGGTTGCAATTGCCCTGAGAAGGTTGGCATCTGGTGAGTCTCAAGTCTCAGTGGGAGCTGCCTTTGGGGTAGGCCAGTCTACAGTTTCTCAAGTTACTTGGAGATTCATTGAAGCATTGGAAGAACGTGCCAAGCACCATCTCAAGTGGCCTGATTCCAACAGAATGGAAGAAATAAAGTCCAAACTTGAAGAAGCCTTTGGATTTCCCAATTGTTGTGGAGCCATAGCTGGTACACACATGATTATGACCCTTCCTACCGTTCAAACATCAGACGATTGTTGTGACCTGGAGGACAACTACAGCATGCTCTTGCTGTAGGGAATTGTTGACCATGAGATGAGGTTTCTTGACATTGTAACTGGTTGGCCTGGGGGCATGATGGTGTCTAGACTTTTAAAGTGTTCAGGATTTTTCAAGCTCTGTGAAAAAAGCAGCAGATTCTGACTGGTGGGAAATTCCTCATTTGAGCTTCCATGGCGCCTCCCAAGAAATCAAAGAAGAGCAAGAAAGATAGGAAATTGAAGAAAAACTTAAGTTTGGTTCCAGTCGAGCCAAAAGCAGCAGATTCTGACTGGTGGGATAGTTTCTGGCACAAGAATTCTTCAACCCAAGGTTTCTCTTTTCACTAAGCTCAGTCTTCAATTACTCTTCTTTTAGTGGAATGCATTCAGATTACTTGTAGTTTTAGTTAAATTATCTTTACATTTTGTTTATTTTGCAAAATCCATGATGCACAGACAAAATTCCGTAATGATGTTCATAATTAGAGCTCAAAACCTAAACTGTGCTTTTGTTCAATTAGCTAAATTATGAAATCTCTTCAGTTTCTGATGGCCGCTGTACGAAAACTGGCTTTTGATTTTGTCTTTTGCATCCTGAAAAGAGAAAGATGTGGTCGAAAAGTTGTTGCTAGAGGGAGCAATAGAGATTTTAGCCTGTAAAAGTAGTATGTAATTGTTAGGAATCTGGCTTGGCCTAAGTTGGATGAGTAGTTGGAAATCCTGACTGAATCAGACTTGGGGAATATACAGACACAGAAACACATAGTCGGGCTTTGCTTCTTGTCATATGGAAGCAAGTTTTTCTGTCTTCCTATTTGCCTTTTTTGTAGATTTTTTTTACTTTTTTTCAAGTTGATTTCTGTTTTGAACTTTCCATGATAACTTAACTTTATTCTGTTTTGGTTATGTAATTCATCTGTGCAGATTCTTCACTATCCAATGATGAAGAGGAAGGTTTTAAGTATTTCTTTAGGGTCTCTAAGAAGACTTTTGACTATATCTGTTCCCTTGTAAGAGAAGACCTTGTGTCGAGGCCGCCGTCAGGTCTCATCAACATAGAAGGAAGGCTTCTTAGTGTTGAGAAACAGGTTGCAATTGCCCTGAGAAGGTTGGCATCTGGTGAGTCTCAAGTCTCAGTGGGAGCTGCCTTTGGGGTAGGCCAGTCTACAGTTTCTCAAGTTACTTGGAGATTCATTGAAGCATTGGAAGAACGTGCCAAGCACCATCTCAAGTGGCCTGATTCCAACAGAATGGAAGAAATAAAGTCCAAACTTGAAGAAGCCTTTGGATTGCTCAATTGTTGTGGAGCCATAGATGGTACACACATCATTATGACCCTTCCTACTGTTCAAACATCAGACGATTGGTGTGACCTGGAGGACAACTACAGCATGCTCTTGCAGGGAATTGTTGACCATGAGATGAGGTTTCTTGACATTGTAACCGGTTGGCCTGGGGGCATGACGGTGTCTAGACTTTTAAAGTGTTCAGGATTTTTCAAGCTCTGTGAAGGGGGACAACGTTTGAATGAAAATGTTAGAACTTTATCTGGAGGAGCAGAGATTAGAGAATACTTAGTTGGTGGGGTTGGCTATCCTTTGCTTCCCTGGCTCATAACTCCTTATGAAAGCAATGGCCTCCCAGCTTCCATTTCTGTTTTCAATGCCGTGCATGGGGCTGCAAGGTCACTTGCAGTAACGGCATTCTCGCAGTTAAAGGGCACTTGGAGAATCCTTAACAAGGTCATGTGGAGACCCAATAAGTGGAAACTTCCGAGCATCATCTTGATATGTTGTTTACTTCACAATATAAAAATTGACATAGTGGAGATATATTACAACCAGATGTTGCTTTATCTGGTCATCATGACTCGGGATATGGCGAACAATGCTGTAGGCAAGTTGATCCATTGGGGAGGACTATGAGGGATATCCTAGTGAAACACTTGCTGCACAGCAGGCAGACCGCTGCACCAAAGTGATTCTTGTTCTGCCAGTCTGGTTTAAATGAGTTGGAAGTTTGGAACGGTTTCAATCTGTAAAATTATTTGTTTCGGCAATTTCACCGGCACCAGCCATATACGACATGAAATGGTGAATTGCTTCTCTTATTCACATTGACTTGCATAAAAGAAATGTATGTATGTTTTTGATAGACTCTGAATCAGCCATCTTTGTATGGCGGCTTAGAAAGTAGAATGAAAGCTCATTTTGTCAGTCTACGAGAACTTGTAACACCAAAGAAGTTTAAAGCCACAAATATACCACATAAATAAAACATTTTTATTTTAAGTTGTGGCATACAACTCGCTACTAACAAAAAGTAAGACAAGCAGCAATATATATGTAAAAGAAAAATAATATGATAAAAAAAAAAAAGCAAACACCATCTGAGTGGGTTTCCTTTGATTAGAAGATGGGGCCTGGCATGTACAGCAGGATCTCAAAACTAAGCAAGACCCAATACTCCTCTCTATAAAACATGGCAAAACAAGTAGAGCTCTCTAAAAAGAAAAAACTTATGGACAATGAGACAAAACTAATGCCTCATCATTACTTTAAACTATACCATGGGACCATGAAATTCCATTGCTTCAATCTCCCTTGGTTGGGGGCTGTATGCATGCACAGAAGGGCGCTTTCTTGCGTTTCTGGTTGGTTCTATTGCCACCATAGATATAGTCCCTCAGAAGAACTCTTGTTTTCCGCTCCGTGATCCTTGTTGATCCTCTGCTTTCTTTTTCACCATCAAGTTTCAGTAGAAGAAATTGCAGTTTCTGCACCTCCAACTGTAGCCGCCCGATTTTTTCGGACCCTCTTTTTGCTTGCTCTGAAAGTCTCCTTCTCACACTCCCACTTTCATCCGACACTATACCCGAAGCTCCATCAGAGAACTGAGGACCATCTTCAACGTTCTTCATCAATTTTTGATTGACATCAAACAACTTAGTGATGGCCTCGTCAGCTTCTTCCAGCTGCCCCTTCACGTTTTCAAATTCAATACCTTTGCCCTTTTTGCTCTTTTCAGTAATCTCCACCTTCCTCTTCAGGTCTTCCACGGTTATTTGAAGGTTTGTCAACTTTTGTACATCAGAATCAAGTCTTTCTAGAATCCTTCTCTTGTTGCCTTCTTGACGGGGCTCTGTAAATCTCTTAGAGATCTCTAATTTGTCCACGCCCAATTCCTTCTCAACCAATGATTCTGAAGAGGAATATTTATTCTTGTGTTCCTTTACTGCTTCAGTCTGACTGTGGTCAGTTGGTACAGCGTCCACCTTCTGGCCCTTGCCAACCATCAAATCAATGCTGGCATCCTGGTCAGTGGTTTCCCACAACTCAAGCATCTGACCATCAGCCTCTATGGTGTCTCTTCTGCTTATCCCATAGGATGAACACTCTGATATCTGATCAAGAATGATGTCTTTTGTCAGAATTTCATTTCCTGAGCCAGATATTTCACGCTTCTTCATAGTGTTACCAACCCCATCCCTGAATTTCTTTTCTACCTGATTTGCAGAAAAATGCCTTTCCTTTTCCACCATTGCCTTTTCAACAGCTTTAATTCTTCTTTGTAAATCCTGCAAGTCCAAAACACCATCTGATACCGTGGCCACTTGATCTCCATCCAAATGAGAGTTTTCAGCATGCAGAAAGTCATCCTGGATACAGTGGAATATAGATGTGTCAAATTCAAATGATATCCAAAATCGCATGCACCATTGAACTATTGAAATTAAATGCAAAATGCCATAAGCTGAACAATTCATGTCCAGCAAAATGTAGATAGAAACCAGCTTACTTTATATAAAATTTCCCAAAATTGAAGAACTACTTTTTTTTTAATATATATGAAATTTGAGGCCTCAAAAGTAAAATAAAAGGAAGTTCAAAAGAGAATCCTGGATCCACAAACAACTTGCATAATTCTGATGATAAACCATATATTCAAATACTGGCTCCGCAATTCATGTCCAGCCCAATGTAGATAGAAACCAGCTTACTTTCCATAAAATTCCCCAAAATTGAAGTGCCACTTTTTATTTATTTAATATATATGAAATTTGAGGCCTCAAAAGTAAAATAAAAGGAAGTTCAAAAGAGAATCCTGGAGCCACAAACAACTGCATAATTCTGATGATAAACCATATATTCAAATATTGGCTCCGCAATTCATCTAATATAAAAAGCAAGTCTTTCAAAAGACTTTCTGGCTAGAAGACCATACACTATGGCATTGAAGCAAAGAACATAATTGCATTAGTGAGAACTCATGGGTGCATGTCTAGATGATTTTTGAAGAGTTCATACAGGTTCAAAAGAGGACGGAAAATGTGCACAACCAATCAAAAACTGCTAACCCATTATGGATAAGGAATAAATGGAGTAAAGCTTTAAGTTCCAGATAGAAAAAAAGAAGAGAGTATTGAAGCTTTAATAAATGGATCATCACCTCAGTCTTGGGACAATTGAAACTTCCAATTTCCCATTGCAGAGGGAATGTAAAAACAGACATGGAGATTACCTCTGATTCTTCTGTGTCTAGTTTATGAGATGTGGTGTCTGCAAGCACATGCTTCTCAAGTGCTGTTGTACACTCCTTCAAAGAGATGACAGCTGGAATATAGGCAGCCAACTGAGCTTGTAGCCCTCCATTTTCGTATTCCAGAGTGCTGATTCTTTCTTTCATAATTTTGCTCTCCATACCTCTGGAATTGCTTCTGTCTTCAAGGATCTGACATGCTTCAATGAGCTCGCGGATCTTTCCTTCAAACAATGTTTCACGAATGGTGGAGATCTGCAGTTCACCAAAGAACGTGGCAGCCTGAGTCAACCACATTTCTATCTCTTCTCTTCCCTTTTGCAGTTCATTGATAAAACCTTCCTCCTTAATTTTAGTTTTTTCAGCTTCTTCATGCATTTTCTGCAGTTCGGACTCCAACTCTTGATTCGCTTCACGAAGGCATCCAGTCTCTTTGGCATGATAATCATTGTCTGCATATAGTCGGACAATCTGCTTCTCTTGATCTTCTAGTACCACCTTAGCCTCATCATACTTACCATTCAGATCTTCCACTAATGTATGCAACTCTTGCTTTTCACTCTGAAGTGCATTTAAGATCTGCTCTGCTTCCAGAAGCTCATTTTCTTTATGAGACAACGCATCCTTTGCATTTGCAATTTCACCATTCAATTGATCATTGACAGAGTTAACTACTTCCAGCTCATTCTCTGACCTAATTAATGACTCCTTCAGATGTAAGCTTTCCATTCGTACAACTTCCAACTTCCCCTCCAATATTCTTACCTTATCTTCCAAGTCATTATTGCCAAGATGAAGTTTATCCAAATAGTCACTGAGCTCTTCTAGTTCCAGTAGCTTTCTGGAAATAAAATCCTTGAAAACAAGGGAAAGGTTACTGTGATATATTGTTTCACCAAACATGACACATTTCTCCTCTTCGAGGTTATGCTTCTCTTCCCCCAAATCCAATACCATTTTTGTCAAAGCTCCTTTATCTTCAAGTATCTTGGAATTCTCTTCCAATAGACTCTTGTATGCGCTTTGCAAGTCCAAGAACTGCTCATGCAGATTATCTATTTCGGTCCTCAATACTTCCTCTCTGTGATCACCCTCCACTACTTTCAATTTCAATTCTTCATTCATCTCCTGAAGTCTTTGAGCCCCACTCTGCAACACTAAGAACTTCTCAGATTGGGTCCTGAACTTTCCATCCAGGGTGTTTCTTTCTCTCATAAGATTTCCCGCATCGAGTTTCAGTTGGTCAAGCATTTCTATGAGAACTGACTTCTCAATAACCAACTGCTGATTTTCATCACGAATAACAGAGAGAGAATTTTGCATGTCCTGAAGTTTGACAAGTATATGGTTAAGAAGCATTTCGTCTTGCTCAACCTTTTCTCCATACCCAAGGTTTGCATCAACGTCAACAGCCTTCAACACCTGATACAGCCCCATTCTCAGTACTTCCGTTTGCAAAAGGAAGGATTTAATCTTCGTCTGTTGTTCAAGATTTCCATGCTCTAGGTCAGAAATCAGTTTCTTTGACATTTTGGATGCCTCCAAGAGATTCTGACGCTCAAACATGAGAGACAAGTTCTTTTCTTCCACATCTTCTACACATTTTTGCAAGACAAAGATTTCAATCTGCGCATTCACAGCTTTGTCTTGTTCCTCTTCGTATTCTTTCTTCCTGCACATACCTTCTGCTTGGAGCCGACAGATCTGTGATTCCATACCAGCCATCTGGGTTTCACTCAACTGAACAAAACTGACATGTTTTTGCTTCTCAGAACCTAAGCAAACATGTAGCTCTTCCACTTTATGAAGTGCTGATTCTCTTTCCTTCTCCAGAACAGAGAGTTTCTCTTCTATTTCTGCATATCCTTTTTCCAGATCTTCCAGTCTTTGCCTAGTAGTGTCCAACTCAGAAGCTAAGCTTTCTCTCTCAGTCATCAGACCAGACTTCTCGTTATCAAGCAATAGGCATGACTCTTCTAAACTCTTTGATTTAACCCTCCAGCCTTCAAGTTCAGCATTTGCATCACAAAGGGAATTCTCCAAAAAGTTATTCTTCTCTGATGATTTCTTCAAATTCTCAGTCATAATCAGTAATTGGGAAATTAGGGCGGCATTTTCAGCAAGAAGAGTGCTTTTTTCTTCCAGAAGAGACTGACATGATTCTTCTAGCTCCTTTACCTTCCCTCTAACCCCATCTAACTCAACGTTCAAATCAGAAAGGGAATTCTCCAAAAGAACATTTTTCTCCAGAAGTTTCTGCATGATTTCTAACTTTTCTAACAGGGCCACTTTCTCACTTCTATCAGCCTCACACATCTGTTTTAGCTGTAGTTTTTCATCCTGTAATTCCTTCACAGATGACCCAAGGCACTCTGGATCCAAGCCAACTGACTCTACCTGCTCTAGCATAGCTTGGTGTTTCTTGTTCAGGTCATTGAGTTCCTCTTTCAGACAGTATATCTCTTGCTGAAGAGCATTTCTTTGGTCCACTCGAATTTCAACTTCCTCTTCAAGTTTCCTAACTGTCTCCCTCAAGATTAAGATTTCATCTTGTAGATTTTTTATTGACATTGATGAAGACAAATTGAGCTCACTTAGGCTCTTGTTTTCCTCCTTCACCTTCTGGACTTCATCCACCAAACCCTGATTACGAGTCTCCATGTCCTGAAGAATTAAA